GATGGTCTGCGGGTAGAAACTGTTCCAGTGTCTGTTCGTTTTGTCTTACATGTCTTAAGATCTCAGAGGTTCAACACCAGATAGAGACTCTGTTTGGAGTGAATATTTTTAACAGGATTGATTTATGTCGTAAACAGTGACTCACTAGCTTGTCATTTGTGAAAACAAGACCTAACTGACAACATTTAGCCATCATTGACTCTGTGGCCTGAGCCAACACTGAAATCCTGTACAAATTGGTGCCAAAAAGAAAGCTGAGACAACATGTGTACTCGTCCACAGACAGTATCCACATTGTTACACGAATTAATGACCTAAATATTTGTCGAATATCAGTTCAAACCAGTTTCCAGTGTTGATTTAATCTGACATTTAATATATCACACATTGAGTTTGTTGTTTTTGGTGAACACTGCTTTAAAAAAAATATTCTAATACAAAATCTGGCTGTACCTATACATTTCCAAAACAAAAGCCCCCCCCCCCACACACACACACACATACCCACACCCACACACACACCCACACACCCTGAACACTAAAGTTGCTGGTATGTCCCACCTACCACATTAATCCTAATGGCACTTAGCCTGCCAAAGAAATAAATCATTGGCTGGATTATCACTTGCCCTTGCTTTACACTACAGTATAGGCATGTAGGTAGGTGTGTGTGTGTGTGTGTGTGTGGACATGTGTGTGGACATGGAGGTTGTGCTTAAACAGTCAACAAAGCTGTAAATACCAGTTGATAACTTGGGAAAGTCACTTGATACCCAATTTCATAGTAAAGGTCGTGACATTTAACTTCAATTCATGACAGACAACAGACAATGCTGGGTTAGTGATGAATATGATCACATTCTTTTCTCTGTAAAGGTCTGTGCTTCTACATGTTTGGGTTGCTGAAAAGAGCTAGCAAAAGAGTTTACACCTGAACTACTTTGTAATTCATATACCACTGATTAACGACCGCCTGAACCAAATACCAGGTAATACAGCGTGGTCACCTGATAATTCTTCACTTTATGAGTTGAATGGGACATGCTGAGTGCACCATGGGCCTTTTTTACAGAATACATTTTGACATGTCACAGTAGGAAAAGCACAGGTGTAAATAATAAAATGAATGATGCTGATTCTGTTTCAGTTTCAGGGTAACACCTTAGCTTTTCCTTCTTTGAAAGGTCAGAATTACATTTTAACATTTCAGACAGTCCTTGTCAATCTAATAAATCTTGGCCTTAAAATGACATTGGAATATCTAATCCCTGAACTGGGTCTCAGCTCTGGTCCAAGCCTTATCTTATTCAGCTATGTCCAGCTTTCTAGCCCATGCTATTTTGCAGCATATACTTGTGCACCAATCCAATGACTACAGTGAGGATTTTGTAATTCTTGGCTAATTCAAAGTACACTAATGGTCAAAATTACGGATCAGTGTTGACACCATAACATTTTAATTTTTATGGCTGTATTTTCAAGTGAACAATAGTGAGATAACAGGAAATGAGGGAAGAAAGAGATTGTAAATTACCTGCCACAAAGGGCTCCAGCCAGGGTCAAACCAGGAAACGGTGTTGTTTACGGTCAGTGCTTTAACCCCTGGGCCACTCTGGCAACATGGACACCTTAACATTACACCAATATGTGATTTTTGAGCATCTCATTCTAAGATTTTAGATATTCATATCATCTACTCTTCTGGGAAGGCTTTCCACAAGATTATTTAACCTGGCTACGGGGATTATCTCCTATTCATTATTGAGGTCCAACACAGATGTTGGCTGATAATTCCTGGCCTGCATTCCACTTCATGCCAAAGGTATCGGATGGGCTCTGTGCAGGTTAATCAAGTTATTCTAAACCAAACTGGGAAAAGCATTTCTTTATGTACCTGGCTTTGTTAAAAGGAACTTCCCCAAACTGTCACCCCAAAGTTTGAAGCACACTGTCAACTAAATGATCATAATATGCTGTAACATTAGACTAAGAGGCTGATCCTCAACCATGAAAAACTGCCCCAGACAACGGTGTTCACATGCTTTAGGCCATTTAATGTAAGTTCCAGTTTGGGGCCATTGGGGATAGGACTTGCCATGAGTTGGTCATGTATGTTCAGGGGGGGGACAGTTGTGTTGTTACAGTGTTGAGGATTGTTGGTTCCTCATACACTATTGAAACCAAATTGAGTTTCTGAAGAGACTTAAGACTTATAAACTGCTAATGTACAGCACCCATTACTATTAATCCCTTCCATTAACCCCAAGCCTGACCTGTATAGCACTAACAGTACTCACACTGCTACATACATTTTACCTTACACTCCTCTGCCACATCCAGTTTAAAAGTATTTACATATTTTACATTTACTCATTTGGCAGACACTTATCCAAAGCCACTTACATTTGAGGTACAACATAAAAGCATCAACAAACCATCAAATAAAGCATGAGATCTACAACTGACAATACATAATTGTAAGAGCACTAATAAATACTAGTAAGAGCTAATAGCACATATCGCATCAATGGGGTAAATACCTAGGGAAAGAAGTAAGATTTAACAAAATGTGTAATCAAAACAGGATAATTGTAAGGGGATAGAAGAAGAAGAGCACAGGAAGTGCATGTGAAGCTGATGATACACAGCAACTTTTAGAGCAATCGTGCAAGGCAACGTTGCCGTCAATGGTAATGAGTAAAGATTACTATCGTAATCCCCTTCCCCCACCACTCCACCACTCCACCACCCACCCCATACCGCCGCTATCCGTTCAAAACATAGTCGGACTTGCCACTAGCAAGATTGCCCAGCAACATTGCTCAAGAAGTTGCCCCGTGTATCATCAGCTTTAGAGGTTAGGAGTTAGAGGTGTTATACGAGAAACTGCTCTCGGAAGAGATGAGTTTTCAAGAACTTCTTGAAGTTGGAGAGGGAGGCCCCTGCTCTGATGGTGTGTGGTAGCTCGTTCCACCATCGTGGTGTTTACAGAAGAGAACAGCCTGGACTGAGATTGCTTTGTGTGTAGGGATGGCAGAGCCAGGCGGCATGATGAGCGCAGTGGCCGAGAAGGAACGTAAGCTTGTATTGTGGAGTTTAGGTAGATGGATGCAGACCCAGTAGTCACTCTGTATGCAAGCATTAGTGACTTGAATTTGACTGGGGAGGCCATGGGGAGCCAGTGGAGGCCACTGAGTACTGGGGTGACATAAATCCTTTTGGGCTGATAAAAACCAGATGCGCTGCTGCGTTCTGAACCATTTGTAGGGGTTTCAAGCTGGAAGACCTACTTGGAGGGCAGTCGAGGCAATCATGGCCTGTACCAAAAGCTTGGTGGCATACTGAGTAAGGTAGGGCCTGATTTTTCTTATGTTGTATAAAGCAAATTATTTAGAGCATATTTAAATCATTAACTCATACCTACAATGTGATTTAATTTCATCTGCATTGTCAGGTGTCAGTCAGATTTCAGGGCTGCCAGTGACCTTTCCTGGCCAGCTTTTGGACCCAGCACTGCCAATGGGAAGGATGTAAGATGTGAAGATTAACAGAGCGTCTGACAGCTCATCGGTCACTTCCTCCAACCCTGCCAAATTGAGCCAGAGGGAAGGTACTGAATCTCCCTGCAGGGTACATAGCCTGTCTACAGCTTTGTGCTCATTTGTGATTCAGGTTTTCATAAATGCTAATTTCTTTCATTTGCACAGCCCATTTCATATTTTTACATGCTGAAAAAATGGACACTTGAACCTCATATCCTGCCCTTGATATGATTATTTAAGAGTCTGTGATAAAGATACAACTCATATTCCGAGGCTCCAGGCCTTCTAAACACTGTGTGGTAGATAATTCAGTCAGGAGCTCAGTCTGAGGTTTGCACAATCAGTAGCTCTATACTTTAATTTACCGGATTTTATTTAGGCTAGTTGTAGTGAAATTATTTTTCTCATGTAAAGCACTTTCAAATAGTTGATCATTTTAGTTGAAGATGTGCTTTACATAGCATAAAATATAACAGAATAGATATTTGAGCTTCTCATAATTTTAAGCTTAACACTACATGCTGTATTTTTTAAACTAAATGTAGCTAATGTTCGCAAATAAAGATTGTCTGTCATTGTCTGCCTAAAATGATTTACTATAATTTTAAGCTTCCACGTTTAGGATTGTGTGCAGGGAAACTAAAACCAATGCAGATTTTTATTGTGTACATTATCACATTCAATTAATGAGAGCAAACACCATACATTTTTGATGGACTCCTGCGCAATTTACTAGGCTACTATTAGCACCTGCAGATGGCGCTGTCTGGCCCCGGTGATTGCAGCAGAAAACACTCGCTCATATCCACAGAGAGAGAGAGAGAGAGAGAATCAACACTGTCCGCCGCACACTCCCTCCAACACACATTTCATTGTCTCAAAGCCTGGAAAGGGGATTTACCGGGCAGTTCTTCTCCCGTCTGAAACCTAATTTAAAACAACGGATTTTGTTCTTTTGTTGCCTTTAAACCAGCAGATTTCCATAATCGTGCACCGATAGTGTGAGCGTGGATCTGCACCGGCTTTGACTGAGCGACACCTGCTCTCTCTTTCTCTCTCTCTCTCTCACACACACACACACGCGCGCGCACACTCTCCTTTCCGCTCTCTTTTGTCTCACACATCTCTGCAGCTCACAGCCAGCAGCGCTGAGGAGGAGGAGGAGGAGGAGGAGGAGCGGGGTGTACCTGACACCTACAGCCGCGCGTCGCAGCTTTCTTCCACCACAGAAAGACCAAGGACTGCCGCCTTCTTTTCCCCGGTTGTCCGTGTGTTAGTTTACCGGAGCTTTGTGCAGTTTCAACGGGGATCACTGCTTCTGCTGGCAGACTGAAAACTCTTAAAAATAAATAAATAGCAACAAAACACTGGATCTTCTAAAAACTGTTTGATTCACTCCGACCAGAAATCTTCAGGATTTTCTGACTGACAGTAAGAAAAAGGACTACACTTAAGAAGATGCGTCTCCCAGTGCTTCTCTGTATGTTGGCGTGTCTGTGCGCAGCACCGGGCCCGGTGGCCGCGGCGGACAGAAGCTGCACCGACCTGCGGCAGTTCTACACCGGGAAAGGATTCACTCTAGCAGGGGTACCCCTGACAGAGATCTCCGGTGAGTTTTGTGGAAAATTACAGAAAAACAAAAATCCACACAATTTAATGCACTTCACTGCACTTAAGTCAGTTTTAGAATTATAATGAAATACATGAAATAGCTGACTTGCTCAAATATCACAAGGTGGTAGTTTTCTATGACATTACCTTGTATTGTGTAATTTCTTATGTCCTAGGCAACAGTAGGGATTTCTCTATTGCAATATTCCTTTAAAATACATATCTAAGATTATTCTTTGGAAAGAGGATCAAATGCCTGGTTAGGGCATTGTGATTGGTTTGAATGAGGATACAAGGCATGTTAATAAACCTCCACCTAAAGCTTGTTTAACCAAGTTTTAAGTTGCATTCACTTGTTTTATTGTTCCACATGCAGTGTGACTACCTCTCAGTTTGTGTGTCTTATTGTGCAATTCTCTAGCCTCTCTATACACTATTTTCCATTTCCCTTACTGAGCAATGCACCCATCCCAACTAAGTGTTTCCCAGTCTATAGACTATACTGCACATCTCTATTATAGTCCTTTTTATTGTCTGCTGAGGGCAGGTGGGTGTAACCGTGTGTCTTGTGAAGCTATAATGGTCTATTCAGGGCATTTATGGTTGTTTGCTGATGTTTTACGCTGCAGGTGTGAATAGCATTTAATGTGCTTTCTGCTCGTGGCTGCCGTAACTCCATATTGAATAGCAGTAGTACACTAATGTGTTCTAGGGCATTTTTCATTGTCTGCTCTGCTCTGGACTGTAGGTTTGTGTGCGGGTGTGAGTGTGTGTGTGACTCAATAGATGCTGAAATGGCCTGTTTTGTCATTTGCATGAACTAATAATTTAGGCTAGATTGAGGCAATATCCAATTACAAGTTAAGAAAGCTCACATCATAAGCTGCTGTAACAAACTTCAGTTGAACCAGAGAAGAGAGTAAGATTTGGGATGATTCTATTCTATTCTTTTGATTCATTGTGGTACTCTCTCCTATCAGTCAGTCAGCCATCCAACAATTTAAGCAATCATGCATTTGATCAATCAATTACCCAGTCAGTCAAATAATCAATCAGCTGGACACTCAGTCAGTCAACCAGCCATCCCACATAAAAAGTCTCTCTCATTTCTCTGGTCTCCAGTCACCAATGCTGATAAAACTGTCTTGGCCTTGAGGAAAGTACAGATGGGATGTGAAATTCAGTTGTTTTCCCCTTTAAGGTAATCATCTGTCACTCTCTGTCATTCCCTGTATTTCACCTAAAGATGTACAGAAAGCAGCGGCCTCACAAAGGGGGAGATGAAGAGAGGCGAGATTGAGGCGTCCCTGTTTGTTAAGTATGGATGATCTGAAGGTCATTTCATGGTGTGTGTCAATGAAAATAGTCTTGTACGGGAGAGTGAGTTATTAGTATTGGATGTGTGTGTCTGTGTGTGTGTGGGCGTATGAGTGAAATACAGATCAACAAACAGACATGAGTGAGGCAAAGACAGGTGGAGACAGAAAAAGAACAGAGAGAAACAGACAGTGAGGTGGGTTGACAGAGACAGAACAAGTGAGTCACTCAAGGTCTCTGTCTCTGCTTCATCGACAACAGAGGAAGAGACCCGACACGATGCTCTCCCTCCCTTTCCATTAAAAACTCATCTTTTATTGACAGATGAAAAACACAAGGCTTCAGTCACTTGGACCTTGATCTGCTCTAGTTATTTGAGCAGGAGTACTTCCATCCCAGAACCCATTAAAACTGACAACCAGATAGAAACAGAAAGATGGCGACCAGCAGCAGAATTCCCCAGCACAGGTGTTCTTCAGTCTGTCTCATCTTAGAGACCCAAAGTTGGTAAATTTAGCTTTTTCCGCTCGGAGTCAGGAGTAGTCAGACTCCTCTGCACTCCTGTGTCAGTGTAACTCCGGAGGTTGTTAGTGTTGATCCGGGTTATATTTCTTATTTAAACAGCATTTTTGTTCAACTGGCTGAGGTACTCATACTGCACCTTGAAAGACTTCATGGATGCAGAGACACATTAATATATAATAAAATATATATAATTGTTACAGTGTTTGCATGTTTGCCCACTACTACCATGCAAGCATGTATTAAAAATTAGTGCTCAAAAGTAACTACTTTCCATTCACAACTCTATTTTGGTATTTCTTTTCTTTTAGCTGTCCCCAAAGGTTCAAACTGACCTGATTATAAAAACATTCAGGTTTGATGCGCATGCCGCCTGTCAGAACGTATAAAAAGTCTTAAAACTGAAGGCCAGAGTTATGCTGGATGAATAAGAAGGGTTTAAGGATAAGAGGACTGGAATCTGTGTTTTTCTCCAAATATGAGACTCTAGTTAAAATGATGAGTTAGTTAAATTATAAAATGATCACTAAGTGGCTTTGTTTTTACTTTATTTCAATATGTATGATTGTGTGATTTTGTAAACTGTAGCCTTCTGTCATAAATACATAATAATGCTGATGCGCTGGACATCCCTTCCTTGCCTATTTTGAATCCAAGGAGGATCTTACCTCATTAAGGTTGTAAAATTGTTATATATTAATAAGGCTATATTATTCAAACATTTTACATCAGAAACAAAAGTGTGTTTTTTTGGGTTTGCACGTGCTAAATATATGGTGTTATATTTAGTTATTTGTATATACGGGTAAATTATACGGGTAAGAATGAGGGCAAAATGTTTCAGTGGCTAAACATAAATGTATCTGAAAACATTCACTGAAAAGGTTAAACACTGGTTGAACCAAAAACCAAACCTGCAATCACTGATCTCTGATCATGCAAAAGTAAGTACACACACGGACACAAAGTACAAGATTGTTTATTTTTCATTATACAGTACAAGGCTGCGTAACAAAATTAAATTTGTAGTCCCTTTATGCTTCACACACAACATATAATTAATTGTATATTAAAATATTGTAACATGTAAAATAAAACAATATATATAGTTACTTATATACAGATATACTTACACCTATACACAAACAACATTCTGCAGTGCATTTTTTGAATTTGCCTCTGGGGTGAATGTAAACAACAGCAACCAGATGATAATATGCTTTCATCTTCACAATAAACAGTCTGACATTTGGGAAACAGAGTCTTGACTATATTTGAGCACCAGATAGAGGAACAGATACAATTGAAGCTGCAAGCAGCGTTGGGCGGGCCCTCGCACGTGTAGCGCGCTGGGGTGTGAGGCGGCCGCGTTGCATATTCTGGAGCTCCGCCGGTGCGGCTGTGAATGTGCTACGCGCTTTGGACGCTGTATTGTGGCGCTACAATAGCACTTGGCGCTATGACTAGAAATGAATATTGGCGTATAGATGTGTTTGGGGCGGGACAGTTATCAAGCATGTAAAGATTGGTGCAGATGTGAGCATGTACACTGAAGTTACAACAACTTCCTGTGTCATGGCGAAGAGTTGATCTTTGACGCCACGCCACTGACACGCCCATTGACGAAAACTCACAGATAGCACAACTTTTCATCGTCAGTGCCTTTAGAAGGCACAGCAGAAATTTGAAGTCGATCCGACTAAATCCCTAGGAGGAGTTCGTTAAAGTACGGAGTGTGTAAATCATCCAAAAATAAAATAAAATTCAAAATGGCCGACTTCCTGTTGAGATTAGGGTATGGGTTCTTGAGGCTTTTTTGTGTGTCTTGATATGATAGATAGCCACAGAAATTTCATATATGTAGGTCAAACGTGCGGCGGGGGCTGCTTCGTTAAAGGTCACTTCCTGTTGCCAGCAGGTGGCGCTATGACTGTGGGTGAATGTTGGCATGTACATGTGATCAGGGCAGGACTCTCATCCTACATGTACACTTTGGTCCAGATGTGAGCATGTACACTGAAGTTACAACTTCCTGTGTCATGGCGAATCATCAACGCCACAGACACGCCCATTGACGAAAACTCACAGATAGCACAACTTTTCATCGTCAATGTCTTTTGAAGGGACAGCAGAAAGTCGATCCGACTAAATCCCTAGGAGGAGTTCGTTAAAGTACGGAGTGTGTAAATCATCCAAAAATGGCTGTAAAATTCTAAATAGCCGACTTCCTGTTGAGTTTAGGGTATGGGTTCTTGAGGCTTTTTTGTGCGTCTTGATATGATACATGTCCCCAGAATTTCGTGCCAGTAGGTTGAACGTGGACGAGGGGCTAATTTTTTCCCATTTTCTAGGTGGCGCTAGCAAGTCATTTTGTCACGCTCATGCGTGAAACCCATAAAAAAAATTTTTTTCACCACTTCTGACATGTGTGCAAAATTTGGGTAATTTGAGTATGTTTAGGCCCCCAAAATTGAGGTTACTTTGCAGAAAAAAAATAAAAATCTCTTCAGTTTCAATAGGGACCTCGCACGATTCGTGCTCGGGCCCTAAATATATACACAGATAGAGGATCTGGGGATGTCTTTCAGTTATCTGGATAAGCGGTACCAAAAAACTGGTTATCAACTCGGTAACTCAACCCAGGGTTTCCCAATCCAGCCGTGAGCGTGTTCACATAAAAGAGGCGGTGTTGGCAGCAGATGACCAATCACACATGAACAAGACTACTGGCAGCAGAGTGGCATATTTTACAAACGAGCAAACTGTAACACTACAGAAATGCGACATAGGCCTAGTCTAAGTAGCACGGCTGCAGCTGACACATGCAGGGAGACGACAGTGTGAATGTCTAAATGAACAGGCGTAGTCTATAATAATGCGTTGATTTGATGTGTTCTTATGAGCTGTTTGAAAATATCAGCTTTATTCTTTCAGTTCGGCTGTGTCGGCGTTTCCACATAAAAAGACTTGGGCACTGACATAGGCGTCGCCAGGTCATTTTTCCAAGTATATCCAGCTGCAGTCCGCAGACCTGACGGAAGTTGACGGAAGTCGAACTTCCAAACATGGTTTGTCCCAGAAGCCACCGCGCAAAAAACGTGATAACGTTAATCTCGGCTCACGTACAGTATAGATCCTAATGCAAACCGTTTTATTCTT